TCAGCATTTTTAATGTTGGGGTAGCAGAGTGATTGTATACATTGCATGTAAAAGCAGCAGCACTTGAAATGAATAGGTAGGGATCGCTTTTGGGAAGTTTAAGAAACAAAGTAGTCAGGGAAGGAGAGAGGGAAACAAAGAAAGGAAAGAGGAGGATGTAAAGCACGAGGAAGGAACGGGAAACATATCTGTGCTTTTAAAATTAAACTCCTTTCTCAGGAGAGGACCTGAGTTAAGGATGCATTCAGGACACTAGAATAGCAAAATGGATAGGGAAAGGACTAATTCTTATGACCAAGGTGGGAGCAAAGGAATAAAAGAGAGCGAAACAGGTGATTCATTTTCAAATGCTTATTTCTGTGGTGACTGATGTATTTAGTTGTTTCAGGAGAGGGTACTTTTATCGTAAATCTTCTTATCACCTGGGGCCAGACGGTGCTGTGTACCTTTTAAGTTTGATCACCATACAAATAGATTTTAACCATCATTACTTATTGCCCTCAGTTTTTCTTATTTCACTTTCTTTCTTTTGTTATGTGTGGTTATAGCTTCGTTTTTACCACTAACTAAACTGTGGAAAACTGTGTAACACTTAAAGCAACTGTTGACATTTAGTGGTGCCCTGTATGCCACAGACTATTTTCACAAGCGTTTACAGGATGTGCTGAACAGAGCTAATCATGTCCATTCTCAAGCTCCTTAAATGCAGGTTGGGATGTGTAGCTACAAATTTAAAACTTCTATTTTCCACAGTTGCTCAGGAGGATAACCAGATATAAAGGCTGGATATATTCTGGCAGAAAAACAACACCAAGTATTATTTTTGATCTATAAGCTGAGTAGAAATTGTGATGTTCAGGCAAATGCATAAAAAAATTAATCACGTTCTTGAATCCTTTATGAAGTGAAACTGTTGTAGCATTTAAGGGAGGAAAAATGTTTCTTCATATGGCCGGAAAGTTTGCTTTACAGAGTATTTTGCGTTTGCCCGTTCTGAAGGGCCAAACAGATATCAGGGGTAGGATTTTATTTGATTGAATTACGTGGGTGAGTCTTTGTGAAGACTTGAAGGTCCCCAGCATCCTCCTTTCAGTAGGTGTCAGGTGTTTAGGTTATGGCTTGTTTTACGAGAAGAAGCAAATATAACCCTGGAGAAATTGTGCTGCATTAAAAGGACTTCCACAGTGGGTGGAGGAGGAGATAGCTATCTCCCATGAGTCTGTAGGTGCTGGTGTACCTTGTGTGTCAACAGCATGGACTGCAGCACATAAGCAGTTGTAGAGGAAGGGGAATGCAGTGACAGTGGCAGATACTGCCTAAAGGATTCCAAGCACAGGGTAGCTAAGCAGTCTGTGTGGCCAGCACAGCAGCTTCCATCTTTTGGAGAGATCGGTAGTTGCTGGAGGTTTCCAGAAAGCTTCAGGGTAAAGATGATGAATCTCCAGGCATATTTCAGCAAGAAAGCTGTAGCAGCAGCTGCCTTGGGATTGGAAGAATGGAGAGCTGGAGCTGACGTGTCATTACTGTATCTTAACTTACCTTCTAAGAGACAAGTTTCCCCGGCACGTGTTTCGAGGGAGTGGATAGCAGGGTGCTGGAATCATCTTCTGTCTGGAATAATTGCTCAGAGTAAATCACAGCATCGCTTATGTTTTTCTCCATGGCCTAGATTGTGGGTTCAGCAAGCACATCCAGTGGTGCTTCTGCCTCCAGTGGACTATTCCTGAGTATTGCGAGGTGGTGCTCTTGCTATGGAAAAGCATGTGTTCCAGCTGCCTGTTCTGCTTCCCCAGGGAACCTCAACCCTTCAGCTCTCACTCTTCTCTAGCACATCCCAATATGTGAAACTTGAATTGTAAAATATGCCAGTTTCAGCCATCAGAATGTGACTACATTATTTAGTGTAATTATTTAGCTAATTAGACCAAGACAAATATTTGTTGTTCTGAAGAACAAACTCTCGCGTTTAGTGTTGATGCTAGCAATAGGGGAAATAATTAGACATCATATCATGTCATAAGTCATGTTGCTAAATCTTCCTTCTTGTTCAAAAGCCTCTTTCTTTCCTTCAGCAAGGGTTCTCCTTTTCCACAAATGAAAAAAAAAAACAAACATGTCTTCCTTTATTGTTGGCAGCTCTGCACACCTGGAGATTTGACTGTGAATATGTTCTGAAAAGAGCTGCTTTGAGTGGGTGTTACTCTGTGGAAAGCTAAATCTCCCATAGCTGTTACTGCCATGCTCTTAGATTAAATTAAAGAGTTTGGCGTAATTATTAATCGCTTCAATTATTTTCATAATTCCGACTCCAAGGCAGCTTTATATTTTTAGCTGGCTTAGTCATATCACATGGCCATGACTTTCAAAGCATTGTCCAAGGGAGAGACACAACTTACTTGGAAAAAGCTTATTAGCCTGGAAGGCAGAAGTGCTCTCAGTGACAGCTCTTCCTGGTCATTTTGCAGCCTCTGGTTTGACTGTCTCCTCTGAAGCAGCCATCATGCCTTAAACTTGAGTGTTTAGGCTTCTCTGGTGTATGAAAATCTGGCAAAAAACAGTAGATGTGTAAAAGGGCCAAGTAACCGCAGCTTTGCTCGTTCTTACGTACACCAATCCCCCAAATGCCTCATCTTGAAAACAGGGGCACGATATCATTGAAACCTCTGACTTAAATCCTCCTCCAGGCTGGGCATCCTGCCCAGCTCCGTCCATCCTAAAGTCTCTTGCAAAAAGGATAAAGGCTGTGAATCCAGAGGGGGTTGGGAGATTATGTGTCCAGCAGACACTCCCTATTCTCTACCTGATACAAAGCCAGTGATCGCTTAACCCTGTGCACTGGTGCAGAGCTTTGAGGAAACCCCAACCCTGCGCCGCTTTGTGTTCCTGATGAAGTGCTAGAAGAGAATGGAAAGCAACCCAAAGGATGGCCCAAGAAAGCGTAAGATTAATCCTATGTCAATGACAGGTTTAACCTGATTCATCCGTCAGTCCCGCTGTGTATGCAGTAAGTCCTGATGATGCTTTGCATCAGTGATTGGCCTGTAACTTCTCTATTTCTTTCCTTTCATTTATAAATCTGTCCCAAATCCCATGCCTCTGAGTTTTTTAGTTGTAAGGCTTACTGCATGTTTACAGAAATACTCGGAATTGTGTTTGGGCTACTGAGAAAAGATAGCTGAACAGAGTTTTTCTTTTTTTAATGTGCTCATTAAAGCTAAAATTTCACAGACATCATTATTAATATTTTACAGGCCAGATATATTTTTTAGATAGATCTGTGCAGCACCACTACAAAGGTGTTCTAGAAATAGATTATTACAGGTTCATAGGCTGAGTTCAGCCTCCTGGAAGCGATACAGTCCCATAAAAGTCGGGAGAGGTTACACGGAAGCTAACACACGCAGTGTAAGTCTGTTACAAAGCTACAGCACAGCTAGGTGTGTGCATTAACTGTGCTGATAAAATTTCTGCAATATGAGCTTGTTTGTCCTAACGTTCACCTTATGCCTTCTGGTGGCAAATTCAGCTATGCACAAAATTATTTCCAGGTGAGCTTTTTGATCAGAGAACTGCTTGGATGGGAAGTACACATGCAAAATGCAAAAGGGTCAGGCTGCCCGACTTGGTACATTCTGCAGAATGGTGGGGCAGCTGAAACCAATCTTAATTTAATCATCCTGGGGAGATACGCAGGAACTGGCTGTTTTATGGCACAGATGGAAAGACAACTGCAAATTAAATGTGAAAGTGAGTGCTGATTCTCGCTGTAAATGTTTTCTGTTTTCTGCTTTGAATACGGGATAAGTATGGAGCAGTGCAATATGAGAATCATGTACATCAAGACAGATACAGATTATAGGCTACAGATTATGTAGGCTTTCCAGCAGAGTTACTTTTGTGATAACCCAGTAAGCATCGATACCCGGTAATCGTCTATTGCTTGCAGAGTGCTTGATTATTTACCAGTACACCTTCTCTTTGACCCCTGCTGAAGGCTGATTTTTTAGGAATGCATTTAAAATATTCCTGAAAGAATTTGCTCTAACTCTTTTGAGAGTAACAGAACATTTTACAAAGAGAGAGAGAGAGAGAAAATGAACTACAGGGTCTTAAAGGCTAGGTTTTTAAAGATATTTAAGTGCTTATAGCAATGGAAATTGGAAATCTAGACGCTTTTGAAAATCCCTCAAGATGCTTAGCTGTGTCTGCAGATGCTTTAATAACTTTGTTCCAAGGGGGTTGCCTCAGGTGCAGTTAGTTAGTGCTAGAGAGTTGAGAAGAGGAACTGTTTCTCTTCGTACTGCAACCATCAATCATTTTTGCCTTTATTATGACAAAGTGATTAGAAAATATAATTGTTTGTACAGGCAAATGGAATAGGGAAGAAATAACAATGAATTATAAAACGAAACAGAAGTTCAGCTTTTTTGGAGTAGTAGAGTTTTCCAGTAAGCTCATACTTAAAATTGTAGTGAAGGAAGGTAGCCTCCTTGTGTTTGTAAAGTCCTTATTATCAGAACATGGTTAATCAAAATTGTTTGCTAAATCCTTTCTACAAGGTAGTTGTGGGTCGGAGAAGTATTAGGTTGCAGTTCTTTGAGAGAATTTTATTTGCTCAATCCATTTCAAGAGTAAAAAGTCACATACTACTGTTTCTCTTCTCCAGATGATCATAATTCTCTTTATAAACTCAATATCTGGTTTGAATATTTAATATTTGCAGGTTTGCCTTCATTTTCCTTGATATCATCTCATTTACTTACATCAGCAGTCCACGAATGAACTAATTCACTAGTAATTTTTGTCAAGTAAACACAGGGTGAAAAAGACCATCAAATGAAATGAATTTTTGTGCATTTGCAAATATAATAATGATACAATCCCTGCAACTTGCTTTTGTCAGTGTAATCTTTTATAGCTTGTTTTTCATCATTATTATATACCCTCAGACACATAGTTTACTGATTTTCTCATCAAATGCTTTTGTTTCCATTAACCAGGACACTGAGAAACTGGCAGGTGAAGAGCATGCGTGGAAGGAAGTCAGAGATGCTGTAAATGGAGTGAGATATCCAAAATCAAAAGAAGGTATCCTTTCAGTGATGGGCTACAGCCTGTCAGTCAGTTGTGAAAACAATCCAAAACTCCATTTAGTAAACCTGTTCTCCTTAAGCTTTCTCATTTTATATTGTTCTAAAATGCATTTTAAATTCATTTCGCGCTTAAGCCATATAATATTATTAATTGTATTGAGGATAATAGTTACTTGGGCTGGAACTGCTTCGTGGTAAAGAGAAGAGAACTGAAAGGGACATTCTGGCTCATCAGGTTTAGACCTATTTAGAAATAGGAAAAATAGCTCAATTATAAATAATTATAATAAATAATTATAAATAGCTCAACCTGAAAAGCTGTGAGATTCTTTGTCCTGTTACTCCTGTTGCAAGGATCTCACTCCTGGCGTAGCAAGGACAATAACAAAGGCATAATCACAGTCAGGGTCATTGCAAACATAGACTCATTAGGATAAATTATAATAATAATTTATAATTATTAACCAAATCGGGTGAGATGATCTTGTGCTAGTGAACGGGATTAGAGCCTAATGGCCATCACGTGGACATTCCATCAAAAAAAATAGTGACTAGCAACAACAACCAAGGAAAGATGAGTAGAAGGAAGGTAGAGATTTTTACTAGAAGAGCATAGGCATGTTGAGCCATAGTCATCTCTCACCTTAATCTATTTAGTGGAATTTCACTGACCATGAATTTGGCCATATTGTAGCAGGATGTCTTACTGTTTTCTGACACTTGCACAGTATCTGGAGCTAGGGAAATAAAATCTTTCGGTACTCCTTTTCAGCAGCAGAAAGAGTAAATATGCTTAGTGATGTCCCAGGCTGGAAACCAATAATCACAAACTTTTCTGTAATTAAAAAAACTGAATTTGTTTCAGTTTGTTAACAAAAGGACTGTCATTAAGGCAAATATTAATCTCATGTAACATTAATTTTCCTATAGTTTGCAGTATATTTTAAGTTCCTCTGTAGTCACTGGATTGAGACAGGCAATACTGAACTAGATCTTCAGGCATTCAGTTACAGTTCTAGGACCATGTTGTAATCTGAATATCAAATTATAGATATGCAACATGCGGTTGCAATCATTTTGATACCTAAAGTATGGAGCCAGAATACTGGTACAATGTAATGTTCCTATGTTTAATTGCAGGAGAAACGGCACATACTGAATTTTTCTTAAGGTCTTTAATTAAATTTACTTATTGAACTGATAGGTTAAAATTAATTGAGCACCTGGTGGAGCAAAGTAACACGACAGGCTTTAAAAATAAGTCCTTGTTATTAATGCTGTTTTTGTTCTCAGACACGGGCTATTTGAAATGTGGCATCTTTCCTTCCATTGCAGCACAGTGCCACAGCAGTGCAGTACAGCACCTGAGACAGGGCTTGACATTTGTCAGCTCACCAAGAATGAACAGAAAATCTTCCTTGCTGATTGAGACACTTAGTCATTAGTTTCTGCAAGTGCAGTATTTTTAGCAAATGAAACCGACACTTTCTACAGTGCAGAAAGTTAGTGATTTGCAAAACCTGAGCTGCTGCGTGTAACTGATACAGTGTTATCTTGCTAAATCTCCAGATAGAGAACTTGAAACAATGCATCTGGGTGAACTGCCTGGTACCCAAATTCCAGTTTAGGCATACAAATTGAGAAACTAAAGCCAAGTGCAAGGGGATTATTGTGGAGAAAAGGATTCCTTGGTATCCCAGGCCATTCAACGGTAGAAGAGCTGCTTGAGAGCTGCTCCCTTAGGCCTAGGCAGAAACAGGAGAGCCAACCTTTCTTTTAGCCTGTTGCTGGGGATGTTGGATTTTCTAGTTTGCAGTTTCTGTATCTGAAAATTTGGCCCCAACAGGTTTTGCAGTATAACATATTTGCTATTAGATGATCGTGAATAAAGCAATATGTAGAGAAATTAAAGTATACAGAGTAATACCATGCCTCAGCTACAATAGTAATCTTTCAAGAATGTCAGTACTTTGTACTTAATAGGAAAATTGTATCAAGTGGAAATAATATCCCTCATTCTTCTGTTTGTCCATCCTTAATCAGTTGTAAAGAATACATGGATGTTTGCCAGAGATATAAAGGTTAAGGTGCAATTTTATAATAACACATTCCTTCCCTTATATGGTTCTTTCAATCCAAGGGCATGAGAGCAGTTCACAAATAATTAGTTTAGCCTTGTAACAGCCATGCTATAAATCCTAGCCCAGCCGCGTTGTGGTCACATTCTTAAAGTAAAGTATATAAATATTCCCATGTTTGGGAAGGACTAATTATTTCATCATAGGATTATCACTGTATGCTCAAATCCATTACTGGTTTGGAGTTAATAATATTTTTCAGTAGTCTCATGAAGATAATTGTTGAGCTTCCATGAGTTGATCGTATGTGAAGGACTATGATGCAAGCAATGCTCTTACTGCTGTTACTGTAATTATTATTATTATTATTGCTGTTTTTATTTGATTTGAACTTACTGGTGTCTTTGTTGATGTTTTGGTGTTGGGGGGCTGCTTCCATTCTGGAACTCCTATAAAGGTGCTTTGCTGGACCGTGATGATAATACCTATTTAACATATGGGAGAATTGGTGTTCAGCTTACATGCGATAAGAGAGAGAAGAATGTGGTCCACAGAGAAATTAAATCAGTTTAGACTGTAATGAAAATATGCTTTGCAAGAACGAGCGTCCAGCTAATGCAAATGCAAGCCCCGGCTCTCTTTTCCTTTTCCAAACGCACAAAAAACCTTTTTGTAGCACTGGAGGTGAAAATCTTCTTTACTGCCAAGTTTCTTAAACGTGAACTGCAGCCAGACTGCAGCCAGAGTTGTGATGCTGTTCTTTCTTACGCATGAAACGTGCAGTAGTACTTCTTGTTGAAAGCAGTTGATGATGGAAGAAAGCCTTGTCCTTTGTAACTATTTCAAGTAGAAAGAAAATTCAGGAACTGCAGGAAGGGTTCTGACTTCGTAAGAATTCTAAAAAAAAATCTTGTGTCACTTGAAAGTATGTGTCGTTATTTTAAAACATAAAATGAAATTTCTTTTTTTAGCTGCTGAAACATTTTGTTAAGATGCATTTCCATGGGTTCTTGTCCTTAGGTGTAAGATGTGGAGAGGTATCTTAAGTAAATAATAGTTCAGTGACCAAAAAAAACCCCTGAATTTTAGCTTGTTATGTATTAAAATAACCTTTCATCTTGTCACTTTTCTTCTACCCCTCATTGCTGAAATGCTACCTTCTTTAGAAGTTGTTTTGCTAAGTGTAAACAGAGCATAGTTACCTGAGCTGCCACTTATGAGTTCAAGTATGTTTTCAAGAACTGAAGCGGCATCTGGAATAATGGTAGCTTTTTTTAATCCTAATGCCCTGCAGCTCTTACTCCTTCCTAACAGTATTTAAAACTTGTATTTTTGTTTGATTAAAGATATTTCTTTAACTAAGGCTAACAACAGAGTGGGAACAGGTTTTGGCAACATGCCAGAGTCTCTTAAGCAGCAATGCAGGTCGGCTTCCAGACACAAATATCTATCAGCTGAAAATGCTTGACTGTGCCATGGATGCCTGTATTAACCTTGGATCCTGGGAAGAAGCTTTGAATTATGGCAGCAGGACTCTTGGACCATACAGGTAAGAAATGCAGTTGATTCAACTGTTCCCAAAGAAGAGATCTCTAATTAAAAACAAAGATTGTGTTTTCTCTGGATGCTGCTTACTGCTTTTATTTCTAAAGCTATCTTGCTGTACATCTGGCCATGCTCCCTGGATTAATGGATGAGGCAGAATTCTAATTCTGCTTGCGTAGTCGGGGTAAGAGCAAATAAAATGATAGTAGGAACTACAAGAATAACTGGGTACTTGCGGTAGTGCTTGTCAGTGTTTCATGTATCTGGATGCTGGCCCCATCTCTAACCCAAAACTTACCTTCTGGTTCCTTACTCTGGTTTCTTTCTTTGTTGCCATGAGGGTGTCCGTGTTTTATACTGAGCTGAATTAAGCTTAAGCTTTAAGGACAGGGAGCTGGCTGAGATAGTGTATGAACGCTGTATATGCTATACATAGAGTTCACAGAAATAATAATAAAATAAATCATTACAAAAAGCAGTTTCAACTGGAAGCGAAAAAGCCCGTGTTGTTATTCTGATAACAACCAGAGGCCGACAGGGTGAAGCACTTATTAGGTGCTGGGAAACGTTCTGACATTGGTGGCCCTTTGCAAGTCAGTGTGGTTGCTCTAGGAGATTCTACTTTATGCGGTAGGTCTTGGGATTGATTGGAGCCTGGAGTCATAATGCTGCTTGGGCCATCTAATGGAGAGGGGGCTGATGTTGCCTGCTCTTGTCGGTGCTTGCCCTGTTTTAAAAGCTCTAAAACTCTTAAGTCTGGATGTTTAGGTTGCTTGTAACTAAATGTTAACTTGTGTTGAATATCAGTATAAAATGTTGTGCACACATGAATGCTAATTTTTGCTAAGATATTTGCTAGAGCATCCATTTATTCTCTTAGGTTCTGCTATATACCGCATGGTGTTCCAGTACACAGTATGATGTTGTGAAATGTGAGGAGCATGCGAATGCTAAAATGCTGTGGATGTGAACACCTCAGATTCGGCATCTTTTCCCTAATCAAACCAGGCTGCCATCAGCATTCAGTATTTTGCCTGAGGAAATTTTATCTGGCAGCCTGTTTCTGAATAAAAGTCTGGGCAGCAGCTGAGATACAACACAGCATTTCAGTGCTTTTGCCGTAACAGAATTAGCAAGAGATCTGCATAGGCTGTGGTAGAGCAGAGCTACAGAGAAGCTGTGTGTTCATAACGACGTCTCATACAAGGGGGCATGAGCACCTAGAAATTCTCAAGATTTCTTAAGGGTGAAATTCACACCATGCATATCCCACTTAACCTTTCAAATAGGGCTTATGTAGTACTGCAGTAGTACATGCTTCCTGCCAGCCGTCTACCGTAATTTCCACGTGAGCTGAGGAGACTGCCTGTTTGAGGGTTTGCTTGTTAACTCAGTTAACTTGTTAACTCAGTTCTTCATAGAAGAAAACTGAAGAGTTTTCTACAGAGGTTTCACAGAGGAGAGATTACAGTGAGACCAAGTGCAATTGTATCAGATAATTTAAAAAAGCTTTCTCTCTTTTGCTTACTGAAGTGTACTATAGTTTTCCAGCTGTTTAATGCAGGAGTTTGGAGATGAAGGAAAGGGTTCAACTTTGTGCATTCCGTAGTGTCTCTTAGGAAATGCTGTTTGCATGAGAGATCTGACTCTTTTTGCACCTTGAAGAAGTTACCCTTATTCTCTTCTGGTCCAAAAGCATTATTTAAGAGAGATTTTCAGCTGTAGTTTTTTCTTTATACCTTCAAGTCACCCCTATAAGCTTTGACACACCTGAAACGAAATCCTCAGTTTCTCATTACAACAAATTGCGCCTGAAGCGGCAGGAGAGCAAATCCTAGGAAATCTTTTGGGATGCATTGAATTTCTCCTGTTGAATCAATCTACTGCTTGGCTGCTCCTGCAATTCCATTATAGCTATCTATTTTCCTTTCCTCATCTCTGGAAAAAATATTCATATGGCTCTCCACAGGGAATCACCTGAGGATTCAAGCAGTCCATATAAATAAGGAGTCATTGTTACAACTTTAAAAGGCTCTAGAGAATTGGTCCCAAAAATCTTAATTTCAGGTAATGTGTTTATTGTGCATTTCCTATTTCTTAAGCAGCAGGATTAATTTTCACTGCTGTGTGACACGTGTCATAACATATGTTTTCATTATGATGGTTGCTGAGTTTTTCAGAACCATCCGCTTTGTGTAACTAGTGGAGACAGTCGGTTAAACTGCATAAAACTGATTTGTCAAACCTATGTGCTTACTACCTACCTCTCCGTCTTAAGTAGTGACAATAACATTTTATGAGGAACATCGTTTAAGACCTCTCAAATGTTTTTAGAGCTTCCAAAAGAAAGGGAGAGCTGGTGGCTGTCAAAACGAAAAGCTGCCTACTCTTTTCGTACTAAACCGTAGTTGTCCATAATTTGCTAAAACCTACAACATGTACTTTCGCTGAATAGCCTAAGCCAAATGTATATACACAACTTTTCTTGTAAATGTCCCAGGAACAGTTTGTCTGTCCAAGAGCCTTAACAAAAGTTAAGACGTTTGCCTAAGCGAAAGCTGCCCCACATCATAGTCAGCACTCGGCAGCTTACAAAAATAAATGTCCTCACAAAAATCCTCCTGAGCCGTAACCACAAAATAACAGACTATCAGCAAGAGGTGTTACATGGGTTTGTCACATCTCAGTTAACACATTCACACTCTGGGTTCACTGCTGCTCATGAAGGATCCGATTCAGCGATACTGAGTGAAGCAGACTTCCCTGAGATTACCTCTGAGGAGGGACCCCAGCGCTTAGCCCTTAAATTGCAGACAGGACACATACGTTCTGGGGTTTCGGTTTGGGGTTTTGGTTAGTCTTTTTTCCGGTTGTGTCATGTATCCAGTGCTTACGCTGCGGACAAAGGGTGGAAGTGTGCATCTGTCACAAAAATCTGCTAGATGTCCTCAGCTATTGCCACATGAGTACAAGCGGGGAAAGAAGTAAAGTGACGTTTTGGGCCTATTGGATTTAGGAAGCAAAATGGACTGGGTGAAGCCCCGGTGCCCCTCTGGGCTCCTGCGGCAGCAGGTCTGGTGAGATTCTGTTACAGGGAGGACAAAAATGTCCAGTTCTTTTCTGCACAGCACCAAATCTGCTGCCAAACTATTAAGTCCCATTGATCTTCGGATGGGCTGCTTTAATTAACAACCCTTCATCTGCTCTGCTGCAGCCTTAGGAGTCACTGAAAGCCTCCAGCGTTGAGGAGAGGAGATTTATCTTTTCAGCCTGTAAAGACGTGTTGTGCAGCAGCGTGGTCCTGCCTCTCCCCCAGCAGCTTTACCCATCCATTGCCCACCGTCCCCCCTGCGCCGCGGCAGCACCGACGCGGGGCTTGCAGTGTCGGGGCTGCGCTGCTCCCGGGGCGCGAAGGAGCTGGGCTGCTGCGAGCATCACACGCTTTGCGTAGAGGTGCAGCGTTTGTCTCCTCTTCTCGCTCTCTGTGCGCTCTCTGTCTTCCTGCCACACCTTAAGGTGCTCCGCAGTAAAGCATTTCCTTACTTTGCCTTTCCGCAGGGACTGAGGCTTCTTAGGGAGCAGGGAAGAGAATCCTGGTCCACTGAATTTCAGATTTTTTTGCAAAGGGCTGAGTTAAAGAACAGTGGCTGGGCCATGCTATATGCAGAGTGCTTTGCACACCCGCCCAGAAAATACTATTATACATGGAGGAGACCACAGCAAGACTCAGGGTACTTCCTGAGAACGCGGTTGAATTTTCATGATGAGAATGAAATGTCAGCCAGGGATTTTTGATTGAGAGCGCTAATTCACTAGGTTTTCTGGATTACAGTTTCTAAGTGTGTGAACTTTAATCAGAAAGCAGATGAAAAATTGATGATGGCTGCAGTATCTTTTCCATGAGTCATGATTTTGTAAAAAAGCCAAGTAGGAAAGAATAGCTGTGGAACCTAATATTCTTGCAAGATGCACTCAGCCTATTTTCTCTTCTTCAGTAAGACTCTCCAGTAGAGGCTCTCCAGTGAAAATAGATAATTCTTTTTTGCCTCATTTTTCCCCCTTTTCTTAATGCGTTTTACAAATTATCCCTGCTCTTAGAGATATGTTTTACAATAAACATATGATAGTGGCAATGAAGATGAATAAAAAATGTCCGTCTTTACCCTTGATCAAATATGTCTGGTTCTTTGCTGAGGGGAAGTTTGCCTAGTACTGCCTAGTTCTGAGACACCTTACTGGAATTTATATTGAAAGCTAAATTGCCTAGGAAATTCCAAAAAAGTGAGCTGCAGTGATAAATAGGGCCACTGGGGGATGCTAGTGCTTAAGGGTTAAAGCCTAGGGTCAGTGCCAATTGGCACCCTGGTTGTGGGAGGTCCCCTAGGGACTTGTGCATGGCTGGCACATTTCTGAACCCACTGATAGTAATTCAGAGATCACAGTTCAGTGTCTTGATCATAAAACATCAGTAGTAAACATAAATCTTACCTCAGGGATCACCTGAGATGGAGACAAAAATGTGGAGGCAGATAAAGCGATTCAGAGAAAGGATGAATCAAAAGAGCAGAAAGAATAAAATCTAACACTGCTATCTTTTCTAGGGTTTTAGAAAATGACCACGGACATTTCTCTCTAATGTTTAGAGCAAAACATGCGGAAAGCGGAGGCACACACAAACCTTACCAAAGAACTGAAAGACATTAAAAAATACAGCTCATGGAAAAAAATCTGAATAGCAGGGATATCCTTTCTTTCCATTTTCTTAAAAAAAAAAAAAAAAAGATATAGGAATTACCTCAAAAGGACAGCTTTATTTGTGGTTCATGTATGATTCCATTGGTTTGTCATCTAGAAATAGTAAAAATGTCAAGTAAACATCAAGGGTTTGTGAAAGAAAGAAAGAGGTGCGTTTGCTGGGAGAGTAAGCTGCATCCGTGTGAATGTGCAAGGCCGGGAGCATCACAGCACATTTGAGCTTCAAGGAGTTATTGCTGTAAACTGAAT